AGACAGTGACTTCCTTCTGGTGCACCCACTCCCTCTCAGGTTCTGTTCGCTTGCTCGCTCTCTAGTGACCTACTCTATGAAAAAGGCATGTGTTAGAACTAGGAACTGAAGCAGCCTTCAGATAGAGATAATGACAAACTGAGGCCCTCTGTTCAAACAGCCCACAGAAAGTGAATTCTGTCAACAACCATGAATGAGCTTGGAAGTGGATGTTTCCCCAGTCCATCCTTGAGATGACTGCATACTCAGCTGACACCTAATTGCCCTGTGTGAGAGACTTGAACCCAAAGACCCAGGTTTGACCAGACCAGCCATAGAACAGAATACTAACCCACGGAAACTGTGAGTTAATGTGTTGTTGCTATAAGCATGTAAGTTTAGGGGTAGTGTGTTACATAGCAATAAGTAACTGAGATATTGGGGATTCAAGATTTTTAAGTGCACTAACCTAGACATCCCCATCCAATTTTCCGTGTACCACTCCTTCTGAGTCAGAGTCCTGACCCTGGCGTAGCAGAGCTCTTGAAGCTGAGAATCTTACCTCCTCCGAAGCTCTATACTTTCATAATTAATTCCTGAACCTGATCCTACACTTTTTTCTGCCTTCCAGCTGAAAGAGGTGACAGTCTTGCTATTCTGCTAAGCGGGACCTCTGGTTTTACCTTTTTAATTGGTATTTAACCTTTTATTGTCTTTCTTCAAATTACTGATTGCTCCCGCAACAGTGATCCAATTCTGTATTCCTTATATTACTATTTCCCCATATTTCTTAAACACCTGACACATTGCATCCTCCAGTGCATTCCCTTCCATCAGTAACCCCTTCACATGCACAGTAGGGAGCAACTGCAAAGACTCTGAAGCCCCAAGAAAGCTATGCCTCTAACACCAATTTTAGCTGTGGCTGTTACAGTTAATGAACAAGGAAGAACTTCCCAAAAGAAAACAGCCATCTGTATGCCTTATATCTAAAGAATAGTGTAAGACCTATAAAAATTGCTTAGAATGAGCAACTGACAATTTTCAGAGATTTTATTTTAGTTTCATTTTCCATGCAGGGGTTTTATTCACATGTGTATCTATATTTACTTTTGATCCTTGGTTGAAGTTGCTGCTAGTTCTACATTTGAGGGTGGCTTTTTGTACCCAGACTAAGATCTCTATGCAGGGCTCAGCCCCTGGGGACACGGTTTACGTCCTGCAGAGAAGAGCCGCCTCAAAGGTCCCTAGCTTGCCCATAAGTTTAACGAGACTGGATTATTGCGTGAATGTGAAGCATTTTCTGATAAAATGTATATCTGTACCTACTTCTGTAGAGGGTAAAAAGAGTGCCAAGTCTGTGAAACTTAAATTTGCAGTTCCTATTAAGATTAGTTACGGGAACTGATAAGCACATATATAAATCTAACAAGGGAACTTAAAAAACTCTTGACAAAAAATAAAATTGAACTTCTGTTGTTTAAATTACCCTGATGTTTTAAGAAAAAAACCCCTCTCACAGAAGCTGACGACCCAAATTGTGATGATTTCACACAAGCAAAGACGTACAGCCACTAGTCACAAAAATACAATAATAAATAATACACTAATAAAGCTGAAACATTTCCAAGCTTCGTAAGTAACTAGATAATTATATTTGGATCTAGATTCACCTAATAGTCTTAATTAATATGACTTCTTGAACAATCTTGATATCTTGGGTTGGGTGGAATACAATAACTTTCCCATTAAAATGACAGGAAATATATTTTTTAATTTAACTACTCAAGTAGCAGCAGGGTATTCAGGCACAATTAACAAGTCATTAAGCGAAGAAGAGATGTAATATACTCCCAGGTACGTATTACCCCTTTACAAAATAAACAATTCAAGGTAAATTTGGTTTCCTCTGTAAACTTACTCACCTCCTCACCTCTCCACTCTAATTATTTTAAAGCAAATCCCAGACATCACATCATTTTGCGTGTAAATTCTTCATGATTTATCTCTAAAAGACAGGGCTTTTTATTTTAACTTAATCAAAAAACCATTATCACACCCTTAAAAAAACTAATAATGCCTTAATATTGTGAATATTTAGAAGTTTTTGCATTTTAACTTTGTATTATATAATTTTTTAAAATATAGTTTGTCTCAGATCCATTTGTTACAAGTGGTTGATGTGTCTCTTAAGTCTCTTTTCATCTTTAGGCTCCTCCTACATCTTTTTTTCTTTCGAATATTGTTAGAGAAAGTGGTTTTTTGTCCTATAGATTTTGGTATACTTGGATTTTGCTGGTTGCCTCCTGTGAGGTTAATATGTGCACCTGTTCCCCGTATTTCTTGATAATTTCTAGTTAAATCAGATTCAGCTTTGAGTTTCTGGAAGGGAAGACTACTTCATAGTTGTGTTGTGTATTTTCATCTAGTTGTCTCTTTTTATGATGTTAGCAGCCACACTGCATTTGAATTATGTGTTAGCATGCCCTTCCTACGACACGGTAAGCCCTTTGGAGAGTAAATACTGTATTCAACACTTTATCCCTACTACCTAGCACAGTTTCTGGAAAATAACAGGTGTTCAATAGTTCCTAAATTTTTAGTGAATTCAGGAGTTCATCTTTCAGTCTCAGCTCCCTCACTAACTCTTTGTAGATCATTGGAATGACGCTTAATTTTTAATTCATCTCATTTTCATCATCTGTGAAATGAGGGGATTGACTTGAATATGGCCTCTAAGGTCCCCTCAATGATTCTATGGTCATGCAAAGGTCAAGAATATAAGCTGTCTTCTGACCCCCTTCCCCCAGAGATTGCCAGTTTTCTGTTTAAAACAAATTTTTTTTTTACAGAAACACATTTGTTACATAGTGCAACCAATTTGTATTTGGAATAGAATACAGCTTGTTGGTTGCATATATCAAGCTGGAGCAAATAATGTTCAATTAAATTCAGTTCCCATCCATGATGGAAAAGAACATATAAATATATGATATATGAACACATATGAATAAACTGAGTAGTTTAAATTCTGCTAAGAAAAATGCCCAAAACAGAAAGACAGGACCATAGTCCACAAACAGGTACATATCTTAGGTAATTATCAAACCACTATCCATCCTTAACCAACTTTCATTTAATTCACAACAAATAAGAGAAAAAACAAACTGACTATCTTGAAAATGACAAGAAATCATACTCATCTTTCTATATATACATATAAAACTTTTATTAGAACAAATATATACAAGCAGAGATCCCGTTGAAGTTCATCCTCGGCAGTAACAAGGTACAGATATGGGTAAAAACATACAAATATATTATACCATGGGTTATATTTTTAAAAAGGTAAAAATAAATTGTCTTTTGAAAAAACCGGCTTTGTAGGTTTTTATTTAAATTTATATCCAAACTGCAATAAAATAGCTACAAGTATAAAACAATGTCAGAACTCAAGTTAATATCTTATGTTTAACTATTGTGAATTGTCCAAACAAACATTTATTCTCCAGTTCAATGGTGACAGAGTCAATAAAGATGGCAGAGCTCTCTAGGCAACAGGACTCAAGATTTCTGAGAGATCTGTTGAACACATCATGGAAATAGAAGGTACAATGTACTTTTTTATTCCAAACAAGACTACTTTCTCCACTCTGTTAATAAACCAGATATGCTCCCATCACTCACTGTAAAGGAACAGTTCCATCAGAAATTAGAGCAACAGATTAGCACAAGAAAAGACAGGATCAGACACCTGAAATTTACACAATGTTATAAGCCAATATGACCTCAATAAAATAAATTTTTAAAATAAGACAGGATCAACATCTAATGTCTAAAAGCAATGATAATCAATTGGTTTTGAAATGGGCATGTTAATCCTAGACCTCCTGTAACAGAACACAGAAATGTGTCCTCATAATAAAGGTACTGTTTCCCAGGGATGTAGAATTATTTCATTATTACTAAAACACAGCACAACACCTAAGTAATCTCTTTACTTTTCAAAGCTGTGGAGGTTAGTCATATTCCCTAAGATCATCAACATTAAAGATGAAACCAAATACTGAAATGAATTATTAAAGAATATTGTTTTGCGATATCTATAAAAGAACAACTAACTGGTTTAGATATTTACTTGCCCAAATAGCTTATCAATCTAGAACACATTCAGCACTATATCCAAGAATCTACAGCTCTGATTCTTTGTCATTTTTAATTGAACTGATTAGATGACTTAATAAATTAACACAGATCAATTCAAAAACAGCTGGTCAGTGACATCATAATCATGATATTCAGTGACAAAATAATAAGAAGCCAAATGTCTAATAAAGTTGAATAGAGTTTTATAATAATGTAGCTATTGCTTTAAAATACCATAGTTATAGACATCTGAAAAAGAGCTCTGTCATATAGTTAGCACTTAAGTTGAACGTGCAACTTTTAATAGAGTGACATTTACAATCATGACTATAGCTACCCACTGCCAACAGTGCCAACTGAAAACCTTGTGATGGTGGTTGTGGTTGTGTTGAGGTATTCACTGATTTATTTTCAGCCTTTCGCTGTGTAACAAGTCACTCATCTACTTTCCCCTTTTTGTTCTACTTACTCATTTATAAATAAAACATATCATTAGTTTCCCTACTAGAAATCTTCAACAAGTGAAGGAAAAACGCAATTACTACCTTTGTGGCACTCACTTTCAATAAAACGAAAGTCTGCATTCTTTGTCCACTTGAATACATTCAGCATTTTTATTTAAAATTACCCCCATCCCTGAACCGTATTCTTCAGTTAACATATAACTCTCTATCTGTTCTGTATTTCTCTTAATAAGTAGAATTAGAGACTTGTTCAAAAGGCTGATAGCACATTAGCTCAAAAACTATAGAGGTAACCTCTGAAGAGCATTAAGTTTTCTCAACCACACTGCTTTCCAGACATCTTTCCAAAGGGAAGCAAACATGAAAATGAGTAAGACCTTGAGTAGTGTGCATATCTTGCTGGTAATTCTTTGCTTTTTCAAACAGAGTCTACGTTTATTGGGTTATTGTTGGTCATTAATGGAGAGGGTTTGTATTTAATCCTATCTGCTACATCATTCGAGCTATCTACAAAGAACATCTTGGCTGTACATAGTGAGACTATAATTCTTCTGTACTCCTTCCTGAAATTTTGGTTCAGTAGTCCATATATAACTGCATTGAGGCAGCTGTTGAAATATGCCATATAGTAACTGGCCACAAACAGCCAGTCTGGGATCCTGGGTACCATGCTGGCAGGGTCTGAGGCCACAGCGAGACCAATAAAGTTGAGGGGAGCCCAGCAAATGGCAAACAGTACAAAAACCACAAACATGGTGACAAAGTTCCTGAAATCCTGCGGTTTCAGTTTGGGTTTGTTGTCAGGTTTCACCCTCCGTCTGACCTGAAAAACCAGGATCCATATCCTTAGGTAGCAGAAGATGACTATGATCATAGGAACTATGAAATGGAAAACCACCACAGCTATTGTGTATGCTGAACTGACCGACTGTGCGAACGTACAGGAGTAGATTCTTGGGTCATACTGCAGGGTTCCGACACGCAAGTTGGGGATGATTGCCATGAGGGTCAACAGCCATATCAGGAACACGTAGCAGAGGGAATTCTTGTTACTGTACAGCTTGTCGTACTTGAGACTGTGACAGATGTAGCAGTAGCGGTTAACGGCAATTCCTGTGATATTGAATATTGAGCCAATGACACTCAAGCCCATCAGGAAACCACTAATTTGGCAGTGCAGATATCCCAGGCTCCATCCGTTGTTAAATATAGACGTCAGCACCAACGGGTATGGATAAACAGCCACCACCAGGTCTGCAACTGCTAGGCTCACCACAAACATATTTCCTAAAAGAGAAAGATTTAGAAAATTACAGGTTAATACCAGTTGTTCATGGGTTGCATGAGTTTTCTTTCACAGTTATTCTAAAAAGAGCTGTTTCCACAATTCAGATGACCTGACGTCACAGCTACTACCATATTGTAAATGAAGTGGAGGCTATTTTCACCAGGAAGTGAGCCCACTGTCGTCTGTGTCAAATCAATTCTGCTGTTCACAAATTCCCACATCCCCCAACCAAGGCATATTCCATCTTCAAAACTGTTGTCTTTCAACCTGTTTGGCTTCTCTTGTGCTTTAAAAAATCTTGAGTTCAGTTTATTCATATCACATCTTTTGTTCTGGAATCTTCTACATTACCTGAGAAACCTCATGTTATATTATTTCTCAAGCCAGCCATGATGTCCCTAATTTCCAGGCCTTCTATCCCTCTCTAGTTCTTCAACGGTTCTCAAATGGGCCTCTAACTCCTGTTTGGAGAGTAATGGATCCAATGGATCTTTGTTCATCGCATAATAGTTAACAGAAAAAGGGTTCTGTCATCAGCTGAGTCCGAGGTGGCAGCATGTGCAAAGGCCCTTAGGCAGTAACTGGTGTGGCCAGTTCAAGGAACAGAGAAAGATCTGGCAGTTCCTCAGTAAGTTCAACATGGAATGACCACATGACCCAGCAATTCTACTCCCAGGTATATACTCAAAAGAAGTGAAAATAGGTGTTCATCAACCATCTAGGTTAGAATATTGGCTTTACCCCTTACTAGCTACTAGCCATCTAACTGGGGAAAGTCACACTATCTCAGAAAACTTCAGTTTCCTCTTCCATAGGATGGGGATAATGATAATACCTTCTTCATAGGGGTTTGGTGAGGATTAAATGAGGCACTCCATGTCTGGTGATGAGCAGTATCTGTCACATGATACGTGCTTGATAAATATTGGTATTCTACAACTCTCTTCCCTCCATCCAAAGGAAAAGGTAGAAATTCTTTTGGATTTTATAAAGAACTTAAGGTACAAAAATTAAACCCCAAATATTCAAATTAAGTGATAATTTTCTATATTAATATAATAACAACACATTTTAAAGTACAAAAAAAGAACTCTAGTCAAATTTTATGAGAAGCTCGGCAAATACGTTCTTTGCTTTAGTGGCTCATTTGCCTTTATTTCTTACAATTCCTTCTGCCTTGAATGGCTCCTCTCTCTAACTTTTAAAATGCTACTCATTTTCCCAAATCCATCTTAAATAGAAATGCCCAAAGACTTTGCTTATTGGCCCAACCACACGGAAGAGCTTCCTCTTTTGAAGCTCCTAAATCACTTATTTATACCACTTCTAATTTAGATTAAATAATAATAAATTCCACTCAACAAAAACTTATTAAGTGCATATAACAGGTGCTGGGAAAACAGGAATGAACAGGCAGGGATCCTATGATCCTCGATCTTAGATAAATAAACAAAATTAAAATAGAGAGAGGGGCTGGCCCCATGGTGTAGTGGTCGAGTTCGGAGCGCTCCGTTTTGGTGGCCTGGGTTTGTGGGTTCAGTTCCCAGGCGCGGCCCTACACCACTTGTCAATCCATGCTGTGGCAGCTACCCACTTACAAAATAGAGGAAGACTGGCACAGATGTTAGCTCAGGGCTAAGCTTCCTCAAGCAAAAAAAGAGGAAGATTGGCAATGGATGTCAGCGTAGGGCAAATTTTCCTCAGCAAAAAAATAACTAAATAATAGAGAGAAGGAAGTACAGCAAGAGTATGTACAGAATTAGAGGCAGCAACGGAGTGAGCTAGACAGAGGTGAGGAAGAACATTCCAGGTGGAGTGACCATATATATTTGCCTTCCATTATATTTATTTGTGACTTGGTTTTCCTATATTTCTATACTGTAGTCCTCTGAGATTATGTCTTCCTCATATTTGTATCCTGAATAGTAGTGAGTTGAGACTTTTGCTCAAATGTTGGATGAAATAAATTAAATTGTCATCTCCCAACATCTGAAATAAAATAGTCTTTGTACTTGAAGTTCTTATTTGATTAATTTTATTCCTCCCTCAAAAAACATTGTAAAGAAGTGAAGCAAAATAGCAGTCATGACTAAAAAAGGCAAGGTTTTGCCACTTCAGATAAATTGTCATAAAAACAACTTCTTTGAAAATTGGATATAGTAGGCCAAATTAAAGCAAGAAAAGCAAATTGATTTTTCCCACAGACCAATTTCAATTACCAATGAAATATTTAAATTCCCAAGTGGGCATATTTTAATAAATATTTAACTCAAAATGTTTAATACTTTAAAAATATGTATAACATATGAAATTTAGCTACAAATTAAACTGTCATCAAAACAGTACATTTTTACCTAGAATGTCATGAAGATAAACTGACCTAATATAGATTTATTTTCCAAAGAGCTTAAAAATAAGACCATAAATGATGTCATAGATTTCTTTCATAGCTTTAATCCGCTGCTCCATTTATTTTATAGTAATTATGCTTCTTTTCTGTTCAAGTAATTACATTAATTAAATCATTAGTTTAATTTTCTTTGAACTAATCCCATTTTACAAGTGTTTGGAGGAAAAAAATTAAGCCATAGACTCTATGCAGATGTGGCTATTAGGTAGCTCAGCTGGAAGCTTTATCACATCTGCTACGTGTGTGTGGAGTGTGTGTGTGTGTGTGTGTGTTGTATGGGGGGAGAACTCCACCAGGTAAGAAATGAATTTGAATGAATTATGAATAATGAAATAATTTAATCATAATTACACACATTATAAGGTCATCTATTCCATCTTAGTGTAACCGTCAACACCAATTTGTACTGGCCCTATCGTATCAATAACAAAATATCAAAGTTATCTTGCAGGAGCAATGAGCAAAAATTGCAAGTCATGTAGCCGGAGCACGTGCAGAAGATGGAAACTTTGTCCTCAGAAGACTTCAAGCTGCGTAGGAACCAAAAGTTCCCTACTACAGAACTCGATGTGATGAAAAAGTGGCGTGGGGAACCTAATGAGCGAGGGGTCGCCTGATTTGTAGCACACTGGACTTATAAGACCCTTACACTCCCACCATCCAATCAGACTCCACCAAGCTAGCATTTTGCATAACCACTCTGTCTTGACATGAGTACAGCCATGTTTGGCTGTTCCATTAACCTATAGCCACCAGCACAAAGAGAAATATAAAAGCTGCTTTCTGCATGGTGGGAACTGGCCCTTCTCCCACAGAGATAGTTGCAACGTGTAAAAATTTCCAGGCCCTTTGGGTGCCGCAGCCTGGGGCAGACTGGCCATCTGTGCCAGGCTGGGATGATAACCAGGGTAAACAAAGCACGTACACAACTGCCGGGCTGGCATGATAGCCAGACGGCTCAGTGCACGTACGCCACTGATAACCATTTGTGCATGAAAACACTGGATGCCTGTTCTGAAAAAAACTCTGTAACTGCTTACTCTGAAAATTATTGATGCTATAAAAAAATACTGGAGACTGAGGCCCAGTGAGAGATCCACCTGTGGAAGGGACACCTTGCCCAGGACCTGTGATTCCTGCCCAGCCGTGTCGATTGACAGGACTCTCCCGGCAGTGGGCGTGGATGTTATGAGTAATTGATTTGTTGTGAAGTAATTGATTTGTTGTGAGTAATTGATCTGATGTGTTCTCTTTTCGGTCAACCCGGTGTTTCTCTTTCCGGTTGATTTGTGTCATTTCTCTTCAGTCGATGTGGATGTTTTCCCTTTCCAGTCGAGCTGATGTTTTTCCCTCTTAATATTTGACCTATTCGGATGTGTTTGCGGACTATCGCCTTTACTCTCCTCTATATAACAAAATATACCTTCAGTCCATTTGTTTGGAGTGGAAAGTTTCTTTTACAGCTCTGATTGAATCCCCCAAACCTCTCATAACACACTCCCACTCCCAACTCCTTAAAAGTCTGTCCCCAGTTCAGCTCAGGGAGATAGATTTGAGCTTTGCCTCCTGTCTCCTTGCTGGTTGGCCACACAACAAAGCTTTCTTTTTTCAAAATCTGGTGCCATAGTATTGGCTTCTCTGTGTGTCAGGCAGCGGACCCTTGCCCAGTACATTAGCTCTGTGTAACTCCAGGTAGATAACAATCTATCTATTTTTACAGATATCCGAGACTCTATACAATCAGCATAACAATACATTCTGACACTTAAAGTAATTTCTGTTAATAGCTAACATTTCCTCCTCTGTTGGATTTAGTACCAGGTCTTACCGTAGAGGAATCATAGACTCATAGGATGTTAAGACTAAGAAGAATATTAGTGATCACCCAGTAAATTCTTACTTTTTAGGGAGGGAAACTGAAAAATATGGAGTTAAATTGGATGAAATCATAAAATTAGTTAGTGCAAGACTGCAACAATGTTATTTGTAATGTTGCTCAGTGTATTTCCCTAAGAACATTCCTGCAGTCAGAAATATACGAGGGTTAGAAACTGGGCCCTCTGGCCAGATTAAAGACACAAATAAACTATAAAATGCAAAGTACATATTCATTCTGGTGAATAAAACCTTAAGTTGTAAGTGAAATGTGATGCATACACGAATAAAGTAAGTTAATAGACAGATAAAAGCTGCTTTGTCTAAACTGCCTCCCTCAGAACCAGTCCCGTGACTTCCCTCTGGGAATGGACAAAGCGAGGTGGCATTGCTTTTCCATTTATCACAAGTATTTCTCTACTTTTTACCATCTCCCCGCACCCCAAGCTATTAACTCCATGAGGGCAGTGCCTGTCTTAGACACCTTTCTCCCCCATCAAACAGGACCTGGCATAGAGTTAGGCCTTTAAAAAAATGTACAGTGGATTTATAGTGTGTCAACTTAGCTAAACTGAAAGGACATTTGCTTGCATAGCTCCAGGTTAGGGCTCCCCACAAGAGATAATTTGCTTGAGATTTAAAGGCCAGAAGTGAAGCAGCAGCCATGTTCTCTCTGCCAGCAGAAAGTCCCTGTAGAGCACCAGGCACTACTGT